ATATATATATATATATATATATATATATATATATATATATATATATATATATATATATATACACGATATCAATGTTACTCTTCTGTTGATTCTATTGATATCGATGATTACAGTGCTTCCAAATATGGTCTATTATTTAATGCATTACATACCTTATAAGCTTATCATTTTCTTTGAGAGCTTTATATATTGGTTTTTCTGTAGTGTCATCTTCTGTAGATTCCTTTTTTTCTATTTTTTTCTTTTCTTTCTCCTTTAGTTTTTCCTTATGTGATTTAGAAACACGTCTTTTAAGTGGTTTGGTTGTATCTATTTCATCATCAAAAAGCTCATTTTCATTGATTATTGCAACATGTCTCCGACTGGTATACCTGGAATATCTACATCTCGTTGTTGACGTTGAATTGTCTACTCTCAAAAATCTCGTGCTGTAAGTCGATCTAAGTGACAACTGTACAAAATTCCTCAACATTTCAATTTGTATTATTCTTTAGCAAGTTTATCAGTAGCCAGCTAATACTATTGCTATTCAACACAGAACAGATAAAAATTCCTCAATTTTTGCCTTTTTCACTGTTCTACAAGACTCAATATGTATTATTAGATACGATATGTATGGTTTAATCTTACAAGTTTATATTCGCTCCACACATTTTCCTATATAATGACGTGCACCTTGTGTACATTTGCGATTATTTGAGGTTAGAATCAAGGTAAGGTTGGGAGCCGGCAGGAAGGACTATAGACTAGAGACTTCTCGCGGAGATCCGCAAAACAGGCAAAGGAATTTTTCGTTTTCTGATTAAAATACAGAGGATCACTTTATAATCGTGGTATTTGTAATCAGGAGAGTCGCTTAAATATCTTATTTGAGAAACAAGGAACAATTTCTTCTGCATATTCATAAACTTTTGTAATTTTTAAAATTTCGTCTTCATCATCATTATTGTCAAAAAATATATTGCACGCAAAATTAAAAACAAAATTAATTCTTATTTCAATTATGTTTTAATTATTCATTATATCTTATATTTTCATTCGTAAACAAAGATTTATTATAGCCTTAACTTTTCTTAAAAATTGCATATTTTAAGATTATGATTGGATTAAAAATAAGATAGAAAAAGTAATATATATTACTTATCTTAAAATATACAATTTTAAAAAAAAGTTACGGCTATAATAAATATGACAACACATTCATCACTATTTATCACTTAGTATTTATTTATTTATTTTATCCTTGTTGTATATCTAAGAAGCGATAAAGATAGAAGAACGCGGTAGCGTTGGTAGCGTGCTCGCCGAATGCACCCTACATGATCAAGTTTACTATCGACTAGTTCGCAACTTAGATTTTCAAACGCAGCTTCAGACAATGCGCAGTCTCTTTTTTTACTTACTTTTTCTGCTTCTCCAGTTTGCAGTTATGGCGACAGATCTGTTCTTCTCAACTGTATTATATTATTTCGTACATTTGGAAGAACGCAGAGGCATATAAAAAATAAAATTAAGGAAAAGTTACGGAGAAAAATACAGAATGTACTGCCGAAAACATGATTGCCTCACCTTACGCATCATTATTCTCCACGAAACTTGCTTTAAAGGAAGAACAATATATTTCTGCGAAAAGAAAAAGGTGTACCTGCCTCGACGAAGTCTCGCACCTGTCTTTCTCTGAAAGTCCGTTATATTTCAGAATTAATAAATTTTTCAGCGAGTGGGAAACCGGCAATATGTTGGAACGGGTGAAATACCTTCTTTCAAATTGATTGCAACTTGCAAGTGTATACAGATGTTTTTAATTACACTCATTACACAATTACACATCGGGGAGGAATATCAGCTGTTATTACAAACGTCGCTATACGAACGTTCTGATGACTGCAATTAACGGCTATTATTAACTACTACAAAGGGGTGAAAACTTGAAACAAGAATACGACGTTCCAATTCAACTGACAGTTTCTCTTCTCTTCGAAGCAATTATGATTCTTAGTATTTCCTGTTTGTCTTCTGTTGTTTTATTCATTATAATGTCAGCTGATAATGTGAATGATATAGAAGCGCAAAGTCAGGAATAAAATAAAAATGTTACGTTCTCCAATATTCGAATAAAGTTCAATAAAAGATTTATTACAATTACATTATTATGTAAGCGATTTCACTGTATTATTATCCATATAAGTTTATATCGTATCGTATTGTAAAATACTTGGAATAAAATTAAAAATTACGTTTCCCTGTTACGACAAGTAACTGTGTCGTAGAACGCGTCACGTCTTAGGATTAGAATTGTCGAAGCTTCGGAATAAACGTTCCGATGAAAACATGTGCGATTTCCTGGGAACGCGACAATATGTTGGAATATGTCGGATAATCTTCCTCAATTCCGTCAAACAACCGCACGGTTCGCAATTACGACATTTCCATACCGGAAAGTATGAAGAGACATCGCGCCGTAAGAGACAATCGTTCGATTAACTTATTAATCAGTCATTAACTTTAAGCCGTATGGGGACACAAAGTTGGGGGTGCAAAACGCAGTCAACCGTAGTATCTTACGGACCTTCGTCGCATGCACTTTGACTCTGTATTAGTCACTTTCTTCGATTATACGGAATATACGCGCGTAAATAGAAGTTGCACGGATTGTGGATCTTTATAATCGCAGTAGACGTTATAATCGCAAAGTGCTTGTACATGGGACTGTTTTTATGGAAAGTTTTTGAAATAGAAAGAAAAAAGAGAAAGAGAGGGAAAACGGGAGAACATATCTTTTTCTTCTAATCTTCCTTTTTTTCATTATAGCAACAATTGCATAAATGAAGATACTCTCCCTCAATTTTTTAATCTTTACCATAAGCGGTGTGTGGCGTCCGATCAAATGGTCGTTTAATTGCTCCAAGCTACTGTATAGCATGTTCACCATCATTACGATCTATTTGTTGATTTTCTCAGTGCTGACTCAGTTCATGGATATGATCTTGGTTATCGATAACATGGACGACTTCGCCACGACGAATATAATGTTCTTTTCCGCCGTTGGTTCGACATGTAAAGCCACTACTGTCGTGATGCATCGCGAACAAATCATCAACTTGATAAAAATACTCCAAGAAGAACCTTGCAAGGCCTGCAATGAAGAGGAGTTAGCTATTCAGACAAGATACGATCGTTTGATCAAGTTAGTTACGTCCGACTGTCGATGTGATGTTCGATCATATATTTACACATACAAACCTGTGTTACTTTCAACTTTGTGCAGATCGTGTTCCGTGATTTACATACTACTGGCGTCGTTCTCTGCCACGGGTGCCACGATAGGAGAGGTATTCGCCGTTTTACAAGGCGAGCTACCTTACAGAGGATGGGTGCCCTACGATTACACCTCGCCCTTCTTATTCCTGCTTACGTCCCTTCAAGAGATGTTTGGCCTGGTTTTTGGTACATACGTGAGCGTCGCCGCGGAAACCCTGGTATTTTGATTTTGCTTACAAACGTGCGCGCAACTTGAAATCTTGACGTACCGCCTCTACAAGATGACACAGTCGAGCGAGACGGAAGAAGGTCGCAAAAGTCTGTCGAAGGACACGTTCAATAAAACGAATCGATTGTCGAAACATATTTATCATCATCTGTGCATAATCAGGTTAGTCAAGCGATTGATAAAGCGTATGTAAGGTACAATTTCGCTCTTCTTTCGAATAGAGACGATGACAATATGATGTCTTCTTTCGCAAATTGTGAGACGTGACACGCAAATATTTATAGATACGCCAAAATGGTCAACGAGATATTCAGCCAAGTGTTCTTTGTCCAGTTTCTCGGTAGTATATTAATATTATGCTCAACCGTATACTACCTGTCTTCTCATATAACGATTGCCGATTTTGCGAACTTGGCTGTCTATACATGTTGCATGTTCATACAGATTTTCATCTACTGCTGGGCCGGAAACGAAGTTATACTAAAGGTAGCAGTCGCAGTTTTTCATTTATGGAGATAGTATATGCCTCGAATAAGAAACGTTAAATCAACAATTTGAAATATCAGTTTTACGTATATCTCTTGAACGATTTATATAAGCTCTCAAGTTTTGTCGGTTGTGTTTCTTGAACGTTTTCAATTAATATTTCGTAAATATAAACAGTCTGGACATAACGAAGTTGTATGCTCATCAAATTGTCAAAACTGAGAGCCATTATCAACGGACTTATGCAAAAATAATATAATTAATAATATAATTAAGAACATACTGAATAATAATAAAATACTGATAATAATTAATAATGATCAAGCGACGCAGTAGCGTCGCGACGCCAAGTATAATAATTAGTAATAAAATAACTGGGCAAGCCCGTCATGTAATGAGACGATTTTGACAGTTTGGTGAGCCTCCAACTTCATTGTGTCTAAATTGTTTGACAACTCATTCTACACAGACATAAGATAGAGTACTATAACAAAATGCACTCGTAGTTACTCGAGTTACAGATTTTTTTCCTTGCTAAAAACTTAATTATTTGGACTTTGTGCAGAGTACAGGATTAAGCGAGGAAGTGTATAAGATAGATTGGATGTTGATGACGATTAGCGAACGAAAAGACTTGCTGATGATTATGAAACGTAGTACAAGACCTATCCGATTTACTAGTGGTTTCTTAGTGACGTTGTCTCTGGAATCTTATAGTAATGTCAGTATGTCAATTAAACACTTTCTTCCCTCACTATTGTTCGACGCATATTTCGTTAAAATCTTATTTTATTTCGTAGATCCTCAAAACATCTTACTCTGCGTTCAACATTTTGCAGCAATCGTAAAGTTTAAATAGCGGAGGTTTATTCGTTATTTATATACAGTGCACACGACGATTTATCATAAATAAATCATTTATCAGAGTACGCGTTGCGACATTAAAACCCTGGCTCTCCGTTGTCTTACAATTTTTCAACGCGTAACAATTAAGTGATTTACTTATACTGTTGACAATGAAGTCTTACTTTCTTGTTATCTACAAGATTCTTTTATATTGTATGATTTTACGTTTATTACTTGTTTTACGTTATTACTAATTGTTATATGTACTTATTGTTATTCTGTTTTTGTCTTACCACATATATACGTTAGGACAGATAAGATATAATAGTTGCTTTTACGAGTCTGCAATAAACTTTGGATGATATAGTTGAAAGGAGAAACAACAATGAATTAGTTTTTAAATTGCAACGACATCCACGAGGGCCACGGATATACGGTGGGTAAGTGCATATAATTATTGTCAAGACCTTCGAACCTGATAATCTCCACGCTTGAGATACCGCTGTCTATGCTCGTGCAGCTTCCACCACCGTTATTTGATACGTGGGAGTTGTGTAGATGTTCGTGAATACGCAGATTACCGACGACGGGAAGTTTTTGGTTGTAGACGCCGCAACGATACGAATAATCACCTGCACAAAAGAATGGTCATGTGTCAATTATCGATCTAAAATATCGTGTCGTTTGAAGACTTGTGGCTTAAATGACGGCAAACGACCAGATAAAATCGCTAATTTCTATTATAAGAATATTATAAGTACGCTTGAAATATGACTTTTGGAACCACTTATTTATTTACTTACTCTCTTTCTACTACTATCATAAAAATATTCCTACATAACATCAAAATCAATGTTATTGTTACTAAAATATTGGTATAATATCGCAATAAATTAAATTTATTTGCATGGGAATAAACAATGTTGTAGTAGTTTTATCTATCGGAGAACAGCACGTTAATATTATTAAAACATTTGCTTAAGATAGTAAGTAGTTATATTTTGATAGATATTAAAATATATGATTGATATTAATTTAACCACTAGACGACTTTGAATTAACGAAGAAAACCTTGTATTAATGTTCGGATTTGAAGTTCATTAAAAGTCTTAGAAAGTAACAATTTTTAAGGTCATGATAATATTGCTATTATCTTTTAGCAATATGATTAAAAACTTCTTAAGTTTATTGTCGACGTAATATTTTTATGTCATGTGAATTTGTTCACCATGCGATTTCATGTGATGATGCAGAGCGCCTAACTTGCAGAATCCTCTGTTGCAGACGGGACAACGTAACGGCCAGTTACCAGTGTGCGAGTATCCATGCGCCCTTAGATCACCGGGAGTTGGAAAGGAACGTCCGCATTCGTCACACTTGTGTGGCTTTTCCTGCATTTCACATCATACGTTAGAATTATCGACATACGCATCTCTAGGTATAGAGAACCTGATACGCTTCTGGTATTATCTACTTTCAAGTTTTATTGCATATGCGAGATAATCTGAAGAGTTCAAGGAGAGAGGAACCTTAGAGTGCGTCATGCGATGGTAATACAAGTTGGATGAAGCGGTAAAGCGCTTTCCACACATCGGGCATTCATGAGGACGTTCACCGGTATGAATTCTAATGTGAGTATTCAATGAACTGCTTGTGCTAAACATCTTACCACATACTGTACAACCGTGTGGTTTCTCCCCTGAAAAAGATTTCTTATGTCGATCATTGGCCAAAGAAAGTTTCACGCAGAAATGGATACACCGGGTGAGGTAGCGACTATCACCACCTTGAATATCTTCGAAATGACAAACAAAGTGACTTCCAGATCTTTGAAGTCATTCTCTCTGGAAATTAAGATGTTACCACCATAAGATGATCGTTTCTGTGTTATGTACTTTCTGTTAAAAAAATTCTTTTCCTCTTATATTTCGAGGATATTTAAGATAGTAATAGTCGTTGTTTCAACTTGCGTAATATAGAAGAATTAACAGTATGTAAAAAAATCTCTATTTAGCATAAAAAGCAACGTTGTTGACCGAAGAATCGTTTACGAAATCGATTGAAAACGAATTTCAATTTTGAAGTGCTTTATCGGAAGATAAAATCAAGGAAGCACATTATCTCTTTCCATTTCTTCTTGAACTTACCGGTGTGTGTTCGCAGGTGTCTTTTTAGCAGAGACGGTCTGTCGAAACTTTTACCGCAGATCTGGCAGGGCAGACGCCGTTGAAACTTAAAAGCGTTAACCACACCGGTCTTCCACGCGTTCCCATGCCTGCTCAAGTCCAACGGTGCATTCTGCATCATGTTCCATACTATTAACAGATTCGCGTGATTGGTATTTATCGCGTACAGTATTACGATTGGATCTACGCAATGATAACGAGGTTTCCCGTTTTCCCCCGTGGTGTTCCGCGCTTACCGGACATCACGGCAACGTCTTCTTGTTTCTGACAACTTGTGAAGTTAGACGAGTAATTGTTTCACGCGGAGAGCGTGGACGAATTTAACGCGGGTAGAATTACACGGTTCTTCGCACGCGTAACATCTTACCACCTCGGACAGATTAAACGGCTGATTACAGGAAAGAAGCGATGTGACCGTAAACGACTCTCCGGCGCATGTCGAAGGCGGTGTTTTCGCATAGGGCGGAGTTTGATCGTCGTCTGGATAATATGCTTTGTAATATTGTGTGTAACACGCCTCGAGGGATTCCTCGTGTTCAGTATCACACGTAGTACACAAGTCGCAAGGGAACGATAATAAACAATAAAAATAGAGTTTACAGCAGTTTAGCGTGTTGGAGTAGAACAATATGTATAAAGCTAACGAAGAAAATTCAATTCGACTGAACAGCGATAGTCAGAGGTGCTTAAAGCACCAGCTGATTTCGAAACATATATTGAGTCGGTAAAAACATTTGGCTCGATTTCTGAATGAAGTTTTAATTTAATATATTCAATGGAAACAAATTAGTGAGACAACCAAGTGATCATCGTGATTGATTCTTCGCCAACGTTCTGGCAGCATTTATTTACCCTTGATTATGGTTGATTATGGTCCACTTGGATTCCTCCTGATGTCTTGGAACGCTCCAAGTGGACCATAATCAGCTTCCAGCAAGTTACTGTTTCATCTTCGACTGGACTACTATAGTAGACTTACAGTTGGAGAAGGCAAAGAGCCGAATATACGTGTGGACGTTTTCGGAATTGCAATATCCTATTTCACGTGTCGAAATCGGTTGTCGGTGGAACAATTGTTCTTAAGCTAGAATTACCCTTAGGCTGATCATATATTAGGACCTTAACTTAGTTTCCGCCCGCAAATGTTAGATGGCAATGCAAACAGTTCTAGTAGTCATTACTAACGAAACAGGTAGTTTGTGATTAATTTCGACATTTCTCGATAACATTCAGTCAGCATACACAATTATTTTCCTAAACAACAATTTCTTTTGCTTTGTGAAAAATGGAACGCGATAAAGTGTTTTTTCGACATGTGCTTTTGCACTATTTTGATTTGAAAAAAA